ATATATTAGCTGCTTGATCATTAGCTAGCTATATAGTCAATTAGGCCTTAGAATCAGGTTTCTCGTCTTTGGAATCCGCGTCACCTGCTGGATTTACAGGCTTATCGTTGCCTGTGGCGTCATTATCAGCTTCAGCGCCCTGGGACACTTTCTTATGCCTCTTAGGCTTGTGAGACCGGACGTCACGACGGCCTCCAGAACCTTCGTCTTCAGAGTCAGAAAACTCCTCCTCATTGGCGACTCGCTTCTCTGAGTGTCGAATGCTGATGCGCTGCTCGTCGTTCTTGCCAGAGTCAGCGGCTTCGTCCTCATCAGCCTTTACCTAAATCAGAACAAACAGGGGTCGTAAGAAAGTTGTGAAATTCTCTGTGATTTTTGTGATACAGTATTACCTTCTTTCATAAATCAATAATATAGTTTGAAAGGCTTTCAGATATTCTCTAATCCACTTAACATACTACGTTGAGTAATACATCTAGAATATGTATGCACCCATAGAATTTTCGAACAGTGATTTCGTCCAATACCTTCACACTAATTCATACCTTATCGGTATCGATCGCATCATCAGGTGTCTGCTGCATTTGCACAGAAGGCGCGTGTGGAAGCATACGGAGATTCTCAAACAGCCGAGTGCGAACCTTGTCGACATACTCTTGTGAGTTCTGGTTGCCCATGTTCGACGGCGAGATGTGCAGCTTGAAGTCCGGCCCAAAATACTCGAAGTAATCGTTATAGGGCAGCTCATTGGCGATTTCAACACCCAACGCCACTGCTGTCTCATAGGTCCAGCAGCGTGACACATTCCGAATCGTATAACCTCCACCGCCCAGTTGAAGAAGGGGCACGTTAAATTTGCGCATGAAATCCACGCATTTCCCGTGTCCTTTCAGCGTCAGGTTGAAACAACCAAGTCGATCACCCGAAAGCGAATCAGCACCACATTGAAGCACAACGGCGCTCGGCTGGTACATCTCCATCACCTTTGTCATTAAAGGTTTAAATACTTCTTCGTGGTACTGTTCGTCGTCGATACCATCGCGGAGGGGAAAGTTTACCGCGTAGTATTTGCCTTTGCCAGCGCCAATGTCACGGAGATCGCCTGTGCCGGGGAAGTACTCTCCATACTTATGAAACGAAGCAGTCATGACTCGATCGGTCGTATAAAAAGCTTCTTCGACACCGTCGCCATGATGGACGTCGATATCGATGTAAAGAACACGCTGGTGATACTTGAGAAGCTCGAGGATGGCGAGCACAATATCGTTGACGTAACAGAATCCTGAGGCCTCCGATTTCTTCGCGTGGTGAAGACCGCCTGACCAGTTGATCGCGATGTCAGTTGCCTGCTTGTTAAGCTTAACTGCGCCTGCGACCGAACCTCCAGTTGATAGCTGACAGAATTCATAGAGCCCGTCGAATACGGGACAATCCTCGCCGACGTTGACTATAAGAGAACGCCAAAAGTTTAGAGTATATAGGTTATCCTGCTGATGCAACTTTGCTAGCGATTCAATGTGAATATTTATCGCTACCATTCAAGTCTGCATAGTTCGGAAAATCCAGTTCGTGCGATTTTCACATACACAAAAATGTGTTGAGGTCAATTAGTTGGATTAGATTACGGATACTAGGGTAAGTATCAACCGAACGCTTAAAATAATTCTAAATATACACCATAATAATTCAACAGACATTCTCAAGTTATATAACCAAAAGATTTGCTCCAATCATGGTGATTTCCGAAACCAGAAATTAGCAAGTAGTAATGATTATTTTACAATAATTTTGGTCAGAATAGAACTCATGAGTGAACTGTCGTAAAGCTTGTACTTGTACTCACAAGTAGAGTACCGATAATGTATCATGGCGGGTATATATCAGTTACTTACATTTTTGCATAAATTTATTATACTCGCTCATGTTATCGGGCCTAATTGAGCGCAGGAAGCGGACATATTCGTCGCTGTGGTACTTGGTCATTTCTTCTTGTGTAGCCTTATGAGGCCGGTAAATCTCCATGCGCCGATAAAGACCATAATTAAGGATCAAATTATGCGTCATGCGCATCCGATGAGGCTTCATTGGGTGCCCCTGGCCGTAATAGTAGTTTCCGATGTCGCCTAAAGATAAACATGACTTTTATTAGCAACGCACATATTTTATTAACAAAACAAAAAGAAACTACGACATAATAGGTCTAGTTATACAAATAATGCTAAGGAAACGGATGGCGATTTAATTTTTGATGTGAGTTCTTTTTTGGAAAACTAGGATTCAATAAAGCGCCTATAACTTATATATATATAACATCGATATTACGTATATAAACCAACATGAAGCATAAAATGGGTGGCATGAAATAATCATCACGCTTTCTTGATTGCGATTAGTAATCGCAATCAACTTTTTTCAACTTTTTTCTTTAAACTTGTTGTGCTAAATGTACACATCATGTGCACACGTGCCAGCCTATGGTTGTGCAGCTAATAAGACCGAAGCGCTATTATATAGGTACGCATGCTCTTTATTAAATAAATGAAATTCCTGGGCGCAGGGTCAGTGAATCCATCAATGGAATAATATGTTACCATTGAAGATCATAAAACATTGAAAATCAAATGAAGAAGCACTCACAAAGATAAAAGTTAGTTGCTAATACTTGCACTATAATGCAGCTTTCCAACTTGGCATCATAATAATACTGTCAATTAGAAGGTAGTAGGTAAGGGATGCAAAAGTCTTACCCAAATGTCAAACTTATGCTAGAATCATTGCACAACTTAATTGATAGCGTTATTCCAACACAAACAAAGCAGTAATAAGCAGAATAAAGTCGAAGTTAGTAAATACAATGTTTCTATATTCTACAGTAAATATTGCTGCAACGAAATCCATCGTCAGATGGATGCAATCCGTCACAACAAGTGCCAACCAAATTGTTATACTAATTAATAACGCTCTACCTTCCCCGAAGGTTAGTGTTTTCACATTATATATGTAAAAACGCTTTCGTAAATTAATTACGAATATATATGCTTCGAAGTTTTCTGTGCATATCGGTTGCGCCTTCATAATGTGTACCAATTCCCTGTTCTCCATTTGTCGTGTTTGGATTTCGACCTAAGTCTGTAATAACAACCGCTAATACGTACCGCATGTACGCTATGCCGAAAAAACAATTAGAATGAATAATTTATTGAATTAAATAAGGCTGCAGATATTTAGAAAGGGTTCTGATACGCTTCATTATTTTAACTCAAATTTTGAGTCGAGATTTTTAACAATAATAGTAAGCTTACATCAATTTTTTCCATGTTTGCCAGATTAGACTATATACAAAGCCTATTAATAACTTTTGGTAAAGGCAACGGATGCACGCGACTAATGGTTCCACATAAATTGCACGAAAGAAATATCTGTTCGTACAGTAACGGGTTGACATAAAGCAGCGTCAATATATTCACAAATAACAATTAATGCATTAAATTACGTAAAAATTCTATGGTAAATGACTCGGAGATTTTTTAGTAGAGCATTGCTCCGACATTGACTTATTTCATCAGCTTTAATACGCTCAGCAGCAACAGAATACGCCAAATACTAATATTTAAAAAAATAGGAGCGTGCGATACAATGAGCGAACAAGCCTGCTCTGTTTTGAACGTTCTTCGGTACAGCTCGCTACGTATCTTGAAACGTCTATGACGACAAGATGTTAATAAGAAGCAATGCGAGTTTTACTGCTAGCCTTTTGTTGCACTTATTAAGGAACAACTTTAGGCCGAAAACATTGTTTCATGTGTCTATGTACATTTACAGGCTTCTCATGGGTTCGTTTAGTGAAGATCTTCTTGGCATGTTCCAACATGTTGAAATATGTGCGAAACCTCTATGCATGGAGTACTTATGATGATTCTGATCCCCGCTGTTATTGGTAAGGCTCAACGTAAGACAGTCAACAACAACGTTGGTTGATCTACTCTAGATCGACAGCGATCCATCAACATTGAGTGTCAACGTGCAATTGATATAGTTCTATCTAGATTTCTTTGACATACCGACAGTCCTTTTGTAAGTAATTAAAAGGAAGGTTTCAGAAATAATAACTGCGCTCTCGCGGTTGTTCGTTACATTAAATAATTTCGATGCCGTATGCTTATTCACTGTCAAAGTGAATCTGAAAAACAACGATATTCGCGCCGCTCATGAAATCCCGCTGTTTCTACGGAGCAGCGTCGTGCAGGGTGAAATTGCGAAATTTTTGCAAACCTGCGTTTTTTTCTAAAAAACTCACCACCAATTATCATAGCAGCATAAGACCAGTATCTTATGATAGAAACTATAACAAGTAAAGCTGAATTTTAATATAATTTGCCATTTTGCCGGTTCGGCTTCACCTTCGCTGTGAGTGGCGCTCACACGAATTTTTGCAATTACTCGTTGTTTCAACACAGATTTTTGCGTAAAACTTCCACGTTCAGCTGGATATCTTTCTAAAGTTACTTTCAGGGAAAACTTACCATCATAATAGTAGCAAACGCGTTTTTTTGAGTGTTGAATATTCGCTGCCATTGTACACCACTAAAGCGATGCCTTCAACTGTGACGTCTGGTTGGTACAGCTGCACTGAGCGGCAAGTTGACGATGGCGGGAAATTTGAACTGTCGAACTCCGCCGATACGTGTTCCAACACGTTTTTTCTTTCTAACAGGCTTTTCCTCCTTGTGCAAGTGTGTCAGCCCTACTGGCTACGGTAGTTCGATGAAACTCTTACGGATACAACGTCAGCCTGAAAGGGCTTATCATGATTTGTCGGTGAAGTCTCATGTTTCGTCGGCTGGTGATTACGGCCAAAATGCTTTATAATTGATTTGGAAGATGACAAAAAAAATTCCTTATTTACTTTTTTGTTACTTTTTGATGAGCGGACAGAAATTGCGAAGTTACCCGTAGAACGCATTTATCGGCGTTTGGTTGTATATATATATATATATATATGTGTGTGTAATAAGGCGTAATCGCTCTAAACACCTCTACCTCAAACCGATAATGATGAACGCGCAGTAAAGCGTATATTATTATTGTTATCAGTAACTTTCTGCCTCAAGCCAGTTTGAGTTCACTACACTGAATACGTTCAAAAGCCCAGCGAATTTATTACCGTCGGCTAATATTATATACTAGTTACAACAACTGACATGCGAGAGGCTTTCTTTCGCGCTAAAGCTTTAAAAAGCATTCTAAATTAATGAATCTGTAAGAATCGGTCAGTTACGCATTGATGGCCATCCCTCTAGGGCTAGTTGGCTCTTCTCTTAGGCGTGTAAGCGATTGGCCCGGAAGTCATTCTGGTCTGCAGGACATGCATTCATTCTGTTTTGACGCACGGAACGGAAGTCGGGATAGCGGATTCAGCCAGTACAATATGACGACCCATTGCAAACAACTAGAAGTATGCATATATTTATACAAAATATACACACGTATATATATCTGTATTGTATACTAAGCTAATTTCATTTGAAGTCGTGTTTGCACAGTGAGCTAATTGGTTGATTCATTAACTATTATGCATAAAACGTAGAGCTTCACTGTGTGCTCCATCGTATAACCCGTATTCGTGTTGCTATAGAGTATTTTAAGTGATGGAAAGTAGCTGTTGCCGGTACAGAGTTTTCAGTATATTGTTCAAATCGATCGCACTCCTTAAAGTGGTTGAACAAGTGTTGTTAGTATCACTGCTCGATTTGGCCGTTGCTAATATTTTAATATGATTGATCAGATAATTACCGAAGTAGTACGATGAGGTGGCTGATATTTAGAGAGAGATAACATATTTTTGATTGTAGGAACCAAGAATGCAAAGAAATCTACGCGCGATGTAACCTTGCATATATGAAAACATGCGACAACATACAGGAGTCAGTACAAGAAGTTTGGTTGAGTCGGATGCGCACATAGAAAAAAAAAGCCTGTTTCGTCATTGCTTTCGGTCACAGCAGCTGCTGGCGTAGGACAACATGAAACGCTCCCAAATTTCTGTCCTTAGTCGAGGCGGGACAGGTAAATGTGTCTTGTGTGGACGACGCGAGGGGACCAATGCGCTTTCCAAAGTGAAATTGTTCCAGTTTCCACCGATGGGCGAACCGCGACGTGCGCTGTGGCTGAACCGTTGCGGACTTCAACCGGAAGCACTGCCTTCGCGCGCCAAGATTTGCAACGTTCACTTCGTATCTGGTGAGACAATTAACCAAAGAGAGCGAAGCTACTTGGGTCTAAATAGTAGAAAGGAAGCGGAAGAACAACAATTGGATATCATGCCACAAAGCAGACGATTGTTTGTTTGTTTTCGTCGAGATCTTCTTTATTGAATCGCTGATGAAGAATATAAATTACTAGAACCTGAGCACATGTTGCACATAACGGATTATTGCTAATGTTGTAAAAAAAAAAGGTAAGAAAAAAGTATTTGCATCGTTTTAATACGGGAAATTATTGAGCTAAGACTCATAATGACGGGCAGTTTAGAAAGATTTATCGAATTCAGTAATGTGCTGGCGTTGTGTGGCGTGACAATGAGTTTAGATTGTTCGTGCTTAAACGTAGCGTTAAAATATTATACATTAGGTTAGTAAAAGATCTCTAGTAAAAGATCCAATAAAAGATCCGAAGCAAATTTTAATTACTGGTTTGCTGGTTAATAATATTTTATGCATATTGAACTATTGCGCTTTCTGCAAAACGAAAGTTGATATGACGTAAAATTTATTGACTTGTGAAGTGTACACTTTGTCTATTGCACTAAAATTTTGTCGAGGCTTACTTTAGCCCATGACCATCATGCGAGATGATGGTCATGGTTCTGCTCTTATCATTACACTAGCAGTTAGTCTCTAACGTGTACCTGATAATCTGCGGATCTGACCGCACGGTTTGACCGCACGGTTTGACCGCTCGTACTTGAATTAATTTTCTAGCCACATACTACTATTTCTATGTGCACGTAGGTATGCTAATCTCGAAGTGTGTTTAGACATAATATGGACCTTATACGGTCCCATACGAGCGCTAGCATGAGCTCCTCTGTGAGCTTTTTCTTTTTAATAAATACCAACTGCATGTGGTGACGCTATAGGCGATTTGCAATTATACATCAAAGCTTCGTCACCCAAGCAACTAGTAGAAACCCCCATAAGCCATCCTGTTTTGCAAGCTTGCACCAATTGCTTTTTGTTAGCGCATCTATCGTTATAGCTCATCTTGTGTTAGCTATAACGTCTTGCTGGACTCGCACAGGTCATTGACTGCCTGTCAGCCAGCATTCCGAAAGCGAATTTGGCTGAGTTGGTGAGAATTGGTCGCGCCGATATACATAGGTACATTAGTTCGAGTTGAGAAAAGTTGAGCGTAAAGGGGTTGCCGCAGGTCAGGAAAAAGGAACGAGTATAAAAGTAAGACGAAACAGGTTGAGGGGTGGAAACCGCAGTTGGTTGTTTTTTTCTCGAAAAACGAACTATTATTCCACAAAAAATCTGTTTCTCCGGATAGTGGCTAACCAGCTTGGTCGATGGCAAAGCAGCATTTATCTGGAAGACAAAGCTACATCAAGATAGCGGTGGGTTAGGAAAACAGAAAGACAGGTGATAACGCCATGCCTTTGCAGGTTAAAATTAATTAGCAGAATGTTAGTGGAAATAGAAGGAATTAAAACAGCGTAAATATTGTACGTTGCTATAAGGTCGAGTCAGCGCTTACGCTACGCTTTGTTTGAGTCTGCTCTCAAGTAGCATTGCAAATCTTTAACTCTTCATCCCCAGTGAGTACGACGCTTAGATCTGCCTAATAAAGCGAGATATCAATGCGCAAGCCCTGGGGGCAGCATCGTCTGGGTGGCTAATATTCATCTTTGAACGAGTTGCTATAGTAACGATCATAACACACGCATGCTAGTTCAAATCTCAGCGTTGGCAAAAATGATTAACAGATATTCATAATTAGGAAACTAAGAAATGAAGGAAAACCAACAGATAACGTAAAATAAAATGTAATGATTATTTAGATTAATAGTTAACAGTAGTTAATATGATTGCCGTGGCATTTCATAGATTTGATCGAGAATCTTCACTTGAGTCTACTCCGGTTAGATTTCTAATGGGGGAAAGTCCTTTATGTTATACCTAAATTAGCATAATTTGTGGTTCGGAAGATTTGTGTATATGGAGTAAATAACTAGATTTACTATGTTTAAAAAAACAATGAAAGCAGACGTGAATTTTTTTAGTCTAAGTCCATTTAATGCGACACTTTTCCATTAATGCTGACGTCATTGCTGTTGCACAGCTCGTAACCTCCTATCTGACACCTCACAGAATCGCTGCTCGACCTTTGAATCCATATAGTTTTCTACGCGACAGGAAAGATCGAATACAAGTAGCATATGCAAGGGACCAAACCGATATGAAACCAGTCGGTGGCCGTTTCGCGGTGGTAGCAATTATAAGAAGGTTTCGTTATTAAAGTTGTTCTAAAGCATTGACAGGGAGAGAGCGGGTACGTTCCGAAATATGATCGTCAATGTTTCAGTTAAACGAAGTGAACAGGGAAGCAATACCTCTCTCGGCACTGAGCGAGATCTTACTATCTCGCTCAGTGCCGAAACACGCACGGTAACAACGACAGATTCCAACATTGAGTTGTCACGGGCGATAACTGGTGGCGTCTTTATATCAATGTGAAGGATATAAAGGAATCACTAGCTTCGGAAGATACACTTAGATTCGGACTTAGGCCAGATCTCTATCCGAAAAAGTTCACGATCTGGTTTTGGTAAAACTAGAAAAATCTTAGAGACTGAGAAGTTCTTGAGGGAAATCGGTCGACAATTATTGAAACACAGCCCAATTGCATTGAATAAATGAGGATATTTAAGAGAAATAATCTAATAAACTAAGCGGAGTCATTTTTCCACATGACTATAATAGCCAGTACACCGTGAAGCCTTCCAGTTGCCGGTAAGCGCTTAGAAGTTTCTTTTGCGTTTCCCATATTTTCCAAGCCTCAATCATATAATCGAATTCTACAATAAAAGGTGTCCTAAGAGCTTTCCGGATGAGTTCTTCATCGTCAGGGATAAGCATTTCTGGAGAGGAGAAATGAATTCATTGAAATGTGTGAAAGGATCATAGAGAATAAAAGCTAATGCATAATAAATTAATTTATTCCTACCATTGGAGTTGAATGTTGTGTTTGTTCTTAGGTGAAAAATCGTTTGTTACTTACGTATTAACCGAGTAGAGGTTGAAAAGAAAATTCTGAGTTTTTGAAAACTGCCTGCTCGCTTATTATTTAGTTCTGACATGTGGTTGCAAAGCGCTCATCCTGCTCTACTAGCAGCGTTTTATAACAGTATCGTTTTATGAGCCCGATTTCAACTCCAAAGAACTTGGAAGCGAGAATGATGCTCCAGCTAGAAAAAAGCACATTTTCGGTACCTTCTGTACCATGTATTTCATTGATGCCAAGACGCTGCCTGAACAGCCCGGCACACTTTACTTGTGAACGGTAACGACACTGTCACCAATAGCTCTGTTCAAAAATGGAGTTTTAAAACCGTATCTAGGACTTAGAAAATGCGCTCCGCTTTGGCTTCCCGTTCGACCTTGATGGTAATTATCTGAAAGCACTTTTGATAGGAGATGGCCGACAAACAACTCGAGAATTAGTCGAAAAAATGAGTTGCAGACACAATCACTCTTAGCCATTTCCTGTCTTTTGAGTTTACATTGAGACCTCTTGTTTTGGTACCTCATTAATTATCTGAATCCAACAAGCAATTACGATTTAACGCTGCATTTCAATATTTCACCCAGTATCGAGCGTGACGCAACCGAAATGGCCGATTTTTGCACAGAATTATCTCTGGTGATGAAAAAAGATCTTTGTATGTCAGCATGAACCAGAAATCGGAATGAGTTGTTTTAGTAGAAATGACAAAGCCCAGGGTTGTACCTAAGCTTCATCCAAAAAAGATCGTGCTTTGCGTTTAGTACGATCGTGAGACTTTGCTTCAGTGAAAATAATTTGTGCAAACTGGACAGTGTATCGGCATGTTTATTTGGCCTCGCTGCATCAGGTCAAGCAGAGTGCTTTGGTGAAGAAATTAGAGACACGAGATGGAGCCACTCCACGATATGGATACACATTAAAAGTCACACATTAAAGTTGCTCTCTTGGACTTTCAATGGCAGGTTGACGTCTCGATATCTCGGCCATGGACGTATTTTTACTTTTTTAATTTACTTATAGGCCCTCGTAACCTCACATCTGGCACGGATCAATGACTCGAGATACGGTTGGAAAAAAACTTCCGAGACAACAACCAGTACCTTCTGGCGAGACAGCATACGTAATTTGGTGGAAAGATGGGAGAAAGTGAACAGCGACGAGTGTTATATAACGTAATGAATTACTGTCACAGAACTGAACAATCTAACGTCCTCTATTTAGTAAAAAAAGTGGAGACACTTTTTCCGAATTTAATATACTCAAGATCTGTACTATTTGATCATTACTTTGTCAGTAAAGTTATCGCACATAGTCTCCGCACTGGCTTATCTTGAACATTTCTTTTGTTGGCATATGTAAACACGAAGACGCTCACATCACTTAATCTAGTGTATTTTTTTTTTATTGACTTTAGGCCAGCCGATTAATAACGAACAAGATATAGATTTCTCACCGTCGCTCCAGCTTGTACAATCTTCTCCTGCGACCCGAACTCCCTTAGTAAAATCGAGGCAAAATCTGCCTAATGAAGCATATTCGTCCCTCGGAGATCTCAGCTCATCCGTGATTTTCCGGGACGTAAAATGCAGAGGGCTTGAAAATACGGTCACTCATGGTGATTATCATTCGAAAACGACACGAAAACTGCTTTCTGGTCAAGGTAGGTAGAAGGAACTGGGGAGTCGCGCTTTTTAACATACGAACATATTAATGTTCAGCACTCTGAGATGTCTCAATGAACAAATCTATCGTGCCTAAAGCGTGCAAATGCATGGAACATCCTAAACGTAAACACCAATTGCATCCAGAATGGAGGTAATTCAGAGCGACTTATATTTTTTTCAACTGGATACTTAATTTTTTTGCAGTGCATTAAATATAAAGAGTGCAGAAAAACTAACTCAGCCATGTAGTTTTGCTGTTGATTGCAACCTTTATGCTATGGAGTGCTATAAAATGAGACAAAGATTTCCTAAAGTTCATCTTCAGTCACTAGACTTCCAACTGTGGACCGCTTCGAAATCACATATTCTTATGCAACTTCGATCTTATAGCGTAATAATGATGAAGAATACGGAAAGAAACTTTTAGTTTGGAAAAATGCTGGAAAAGAAATAATAATATGCTGTAAATATGACTTCCGTACGTTCCGCAGCGTAACCAAATTCTACAATTAAGTTACTTAACCGTTATCTTAAATGAATAGCCTATGAGGACACTGAATGGAAATGGTAAAATAAGGTTATTGTAATTGAATAGGCGTTGCCGTTACCTGTTGAATATCAAGGTACTCAGGGCGACGCATCACTAGCGCCATTAGAGATTACAACCTACTATAATATAACTTGACTTTTTTTGGCCAGGGCATAGAATCGTCGTCTCGTGAATTAGTTGAATTAGTATCGTTTTTTAATATTTGAAATCAATACATAGCGACGTTCAGCCATTCAAGTTAGAGTTGTCTATTGACGCAACCGTCCCATCTTCATAGACAGTTTCCATGTGGGTATTTTGGATCAGTCATTTCAGAGCGAAATCAAAAAAACAGTTTAACAAAGCTTTAATCATTCGTAAACGTGAGCATTTTCTTTCGGACAAACAATATTAGAAATACAGATTCGCAGATTTATTTTTAATAAGGCTATTATGTTAATCTTCGCAGATAAACTGATAGTTTCAGTTTGTTGGGAAATGTGCATGTCTAACAGTATAACCAGCGTACTACTGCTGTGGAAATTAAATGCTATTCTTCTAATCTTAAACAACCCCGCTTTAGGCCAATACTCGATTTCAACTTCAACAAATGATTGAACATTAATGTACGTCGTCATTATAATTTGCTTATTGCTATCGTCTTATATATGTGTCTGTTCGTCGTATCATCCGCTCATCGTTTCGGTTTCTTGTAAACCGCTCGAAGTGGTTTTGTCTCGAAAGCTGTTAATGTTTGTTTTTTTTTACTTATTTTACCTTTCCTATTAGAGGCGATAGAACGGCTATCGCTATATTTCTTTTTGGTTACAAATCTTCCTTGGGCGTAATGCACCGATGCCGGCGCTAAAAACAACAGGAACTAAGCTGTCTTGAGTTGCCTTTTCTGCATGAAGAAGCAGATCTTCACTTTCAATTGTACTGATTTGTTTACTTTGACCTGTAAGTCAATCGCGTTTTGTCACACAAATAATGCTTTCAAATACACTACAGTTCAGAACATAGATTTGTGTTAAAATTTGCTATTCAGATCGTTGTTCCAGCAACGAGTCGTACCAAAAACCGAGATTGCGTTGAATATATCTAATGTTATTAATGGACATTCGGCTGCCGAAGGTTGCCTACAGCATGTCTATTGCATAAAGAGTTTTGTCTTTGTGACCCAGTTACACTAAGTGAGCTAAATTGTCGGTGAACTAAGCTTTTTCCCGCTGTTACTTTTATGAAAAGATCAATCTGAAATTGTTATTCGAGTGTTGCAGTGCTACATCTTTTGCCCAAGCGCTGGGAACAAGGCCTTTGAGCTTCGATGTTTCAAATCGATTATTACCCACGATAGCTACATGCCACAATTTATAAGCATAACGTAATCTAATAATAAACATAATAAAACGAAAACAATAGTTTTCAATAATAGTAGCGTATATTTTTATGAAGAAGCGGTTTGACCAAGTCACTAATCACCAGTCAGATTTGCACCCGTCGAGTTCTCGAAAGTTTTTGCAGAATTCGCCTATTTCTCTGTTTCCATCAAGTTGGTCGGACTGCTTTTCCAGACATGTTTTTTAGGGAAGAATCAGTACAGCTCCCGTTCTTATCTATCTATTACCTTTAGCTTTTCTAATCGTTAGTGCGCAATCAGAACTACGGATGCAAACACATCATTGCATTGCATAATAATAATTATATGCTATTCAAAATACCTATGTCCGGCTTAAATCTACGTTTGCTATCAACTTTAGAGCTAATATTGTCGGGTATTATGTGTGATCAACCAGGATTTCAGAGGCACTGCACACTATAATCGACTCGGTAGTAATTTTTTTTCGAACTTTGAATTCCCACGTTCTATTGGGTTACACCTATCTCCCGGTTTGACATCAACTAATATGCCCACGTCGGTCAATTAATCCTAGATACTTTCTCAGTCTGTTTATATGTACCTTTTTTTTTTTTATAGACAAATAACATTTTTTGCTAAGCTTTGTTAATACTATAATAACGTTGATTAAATTCGATTCGTATTTACATCGTCAGATCTCTGTAGGTGATGACTCCATTTGTGCAATAATTCTGGTCGTAGAAAACATACGATTACTATTTACTTTATTATTTTTTTTTATCTAATTCAGTCAACTGGCCACAAAATACAACCCTAATGAACAATTATACTCCTCAATAAAACTAACGTCTAATTAACATGAGTTATTTATTCTTCGTAGAAGAAATTGTAATTATATGACGCATATGCTTCGGATTAAAATTGTTCTTCTTTTTGCTGATACAAAATGGGTATATGGAAATGGCGTATAGGGTCCGGAGCATTGACTTAAATCTGTTATGTTTGAGGATTGCATTTTCTTTTGAGCAGACTGAGTTATCGTCGTACCTTATGGAAATTACTCGTTTAATACAGTTACCACTACTGCTTATATTACAAAATGGCTATTTCTTTCAGTTTCTCAAAAGGAATCGTCATCGACGGGTGACAAAGTGATTTTTATCGATGAACGTCACTAGAAAATAGTCAGTTAAAACGGTCGAGCAATGGGTTTGAAATGCATTTGAATCCGGGTTATAATTCTTAAGATCGGTTATAACAGTAAGAAAGAGTCTAGTAAAACCGTTAAATTTATTTCCTTTTCAAACTACTCAAGAGCTGATTTACCATTATCATGTCTTCCTGTAAGGGTTCACTTATCCCCTATACAGAGTGTCAGTAAAGGTTTTCTGTAGGCCTCAACATTAAGGCTTGATTTCATAACAATTTGTTTTTCAAATTTGACGAACAATTCGACAACTATAGAAAAACAATCTAAACAGTGTGAAGATTCAACTGAGTTATAGGCGTGGTCTGTTCGATTAAGGGTCCCTCAGTAGTAGAATAAATAGGTGGTTACGCTGCACAACTTAATACACTCAATAATTAGAGGCCCTGAAAAATAAATTTGTTCTAAAAAAAAAAGCATCCCGATTTTCTGCCATACCAAAAGGGCACTACTGTAATCCACGTAGGCGTATCCTATAGATGTGTAACCCATGGCATTTTGCTGAAGAAGCATTTTTGCGGATCAGCAATGCAACTGCGTTCGGACAAAAAGCGGAATATTTATATGGGCATATAGGATATATAAACAAGTATACGTACAACTCTACGTGATGGAGAAAAGCTCCTACGTTAAATTTATGGCCTTTGTGTCGTTATTAGGAGTGGCAAATTGGCGTCGCAGGCTATGACTTGGTCTAATCATATAATCGGGTGTGGTTCTCGAGTGGTGATGTGGCTTGTTCCGCAGGTGGTGGTTACCTGATCACTTCGCCGATGATGCCGGTGAAACACGCTAAAGGCAGGTTGTCGGGAAGCAAGATCTTTCTTTATCAGCAAAGAAACCATTACTTTTTTTTCGGGCTAGGATACTAAGCAGGTCCTTTAAGAGGTTGACGCTAAGGACGGTCAACTAAAGCTGGACAGTTGGGTCATTGGTCGTGGATTTTAAATTAACCTAGAATCCTTATAAACACCTCAATACCAAGACAGATAGTGCATTCGTAAAATATGTTTAGGCTTCAAGAGATTTCAGAATGGATGTGAATAAGTAATCCAACATTATTTAAGGTGATATAGAAGTTCACGTCGTGAACTCGTTTCTGTGTAGTGTAATCTGCATATATAGAAAGAAGCTCTATAAATAGCATAGAATTCTATTTATAGAGCTTCTTTCTTATCATACATCGCCTTAAAAACGTATTATACATACATTAGAGAAGCCATGTTGCCTATCTTGCAGTCATTGGGAAATAATTGTTCCAAAATATCGGTAGTGTCGTCGCAGCACGTTCATTCACGCAAAGTGTATAGTCTTTATCGTAGAGGATAGCGTACTGTCCTTTAATTTTTCTTTCTCGTAGAGCATCGATGGCTTTCTCTGCTCCATTTGATAGCAATCCCGAATTCACAAATATTTTTTTAACCAAAATTTAATCGATTAATGACGTTTTGGTTTACGCCATTAAACACAATAAAAAAAAGACTTGAAACAAATCAAATCAAGTTTTTTGCCTCGTCTCTCTCTCTCTCCTCCGATTGCTCTTAGGTTCTTCAGAATCGTCTTCGACCAATTCTATCTGCGTTGGAAAAATCAAAACAAATATGACGAAAGCAAATAATCGAATTCAAAAGGACAGTTGGAATTCAGACAGCGATAATGCAGAAGACGATTCCCTACTATTTGAGGACGAATGCCCCCGCGAAGATTGCCAGCGTCAAGCTCAACATATGGTCGAGCTCCTTGTCCGAGTCGGAATACTTGAGCGGACCGTGTGCGATCTTCGACACAACCTTCAAGATAAGGTTCGACCATAATATATAATTACAATATTAATAGCAGTCAGGTGTTGTTGCTGGTCGTACCTATTAGCAATCCCTGATTCAGTCTAGTCAATAATTGAACGCATCAACAAGTTTTTACGAATAACAGACAACACTCATTGTGTACACCGGCGAGAAAGAATTTACAATTCACGAGCTTGAAGGTACCAGCAAAAATAACAGATTGCCTATATGATTGTAGATTCGCTGACTTTTGAGACATAGCGCGTGGTCCAGCGTTGGCTTGGAATAACCTAGTCTAGTTAACACCGGCATCGATCTCTTCTAGCACCGATTATCACCATCAAGTACTAAAGCTTGTGTATTTCTGTTGATTAATGCAATTTGTGCATTTTCAGAGAGCGAGTGCAATGATCTTTATCGACTGGTCAAACGTACTTGGGCAATAAGTTAATGTTCGAATTTATTTAAGCAAGAAAACCTGGCTGTCTTTTCGTAGATGCTCAAAGCCATAGGAAATATACATACTTACAGTAAAATAACTTGAAGCTTATTCAGCTTGAGCGATTTCTACAGATATATATTTTAACAAATGTGCGTTTATTTTCGCCCGTCATACATATTTTTCAGGAAAAGGAGATTGCGTCTCTACTAATACAAATGAGAAAGCCACTTATCGAAAAGACGGAGCGGCAACAGAGAACAATCGTAAAACTTCGAGCGGAGCTTAATTCTCTTCGCAGACAGACAAAACCTAAGAAACGCCCAACGAGGAGTCAACGAACTTCGACTCGTGAAGATGGATATTTGAAGGACAAAAGTGTCAAAACGTCACTCGTGGCAGATACGGCTAGTCCTACAATAGAAAGGACGTCGATCAGTGATCAAAAACCGAAAGGTCGTTCCGAGCAAGAAATCAGCGGAAATGGCAAAGCGACAGAGACGCCTTCGTATTTATCGCGTTCGGCACTCAAACTACAGATTCGGACAAACGTATCACGTTACTTTGAGGACAATGATGCTTCCGGATCATCATGCCCTGCCATCGTGGGTATGACCGATAAGGATCTTGTGCCTCCTGAAGATGGAAACGATAATAGTCTCAGCGGAAATGACCTTGATGGTAATAGTGTCCAGGTAACACAATACAAAGATGAAGAAGTGACAGGTACCTTCCAGATGAGCTCCGACCTGCAAAATATTAAGTCAGGAAGTAAAAGTGTTACAACAATTGTGGCAAAGGACGCAGATGTCATAAGCGAATTATTGCGGAGCATTGTCTGTCGAGTGGCATATAGGTCTCCGAGCCCCTATTATGTGTTATAGTGCGGATATGATGACAGATGATTAATGCGACCTGGAAACGTAGCCTGAGTGTATTAGGAACATTCTTATAAACGCAAAGTTTATACGACAAATGATTGTCGTGGTTTAGGATAACAGTTTATTTATGGACTGAGATATATAAGCATGGGTTAATTTATCTACTGAATAGGGTATAAATGTGAACTGAAATTCCCTTTTCTCTATTTTGGGATAGCTTTGGCCTATTTTTTCACCTATCTTGATTTTGAGAAAGTCTGTATAATAAACACTGTAGAGTGATCTGCCCATTGTTTAGTTTAGGCTATAGTATAATATAGCGTTATGGCACTTGCATGGAAAGAAAATTCACGCACGTACACCACGTTGGTCCCTTCGAATAATCTCTCGTATAATTGAATTTGTTTACAATTGTTCGTAACAAAAGAGGAGTAGTGAGCGGCAACTATGATGACATGGTGTACTCTCAGGTCCTATTTTTTTAGGCTGGAACCGTTAGAGTTAAAGGTTTCGGGCTGAAACTCAACAGCTAATGAGGAGCAGTGCCACTATCCTCTGCAATAGTTTGATTTTAAACCGCTAGAAAATTTAAAACGAAGACATTGTAGGCGCGCATATTATAGCATTTTGTTATGACTCATATTCCTCTATTTTTACTACTAGTTGAACGGTTAGCACCTACTCTGAACACCTATCAAAGCTACCCCCGATTTGAATTCAGTCGCTCAATTTTAATACTGTTATCAAGGTCTCAATTACTAATATATTCAAAAACATTTACCAGATATTGGGAAACTCGGGCATTTTGTTTTGCAAAGCGGAGTCTTCGCTACCCCGCCTACCTCACGAACCATGTATGGAACATATGCTCTGATCGATATCGATCTCGTAAATAACAGGTAACGGAGAAAAAATAACCAGGAGAAGTATCGGACAAATTAATTGGTTCTCTTCTAGATTCGGTAAGTAAATATGAGCCGTTCGGCAAAAAAAACGAGCTTCACTGCACAATAGCATTTGCAATAAAACGTCTGTTATTATCGTGAAGTAGTAAAGACGACGAAGCTCTTCCTGTGCATCTGCGGCCGTTATTGTCAGAAACGGGAAGAGAAAGCTAGGCCGTATTGCTGAAGAAATCTCGGTTAACCACCCACACACAGGCCACTGTGAAGTGCAAAAGGCTGGAAAGAAAAATAAAATGAAAATAGCATCGGTAGATGGAAACCTCCGTACAAATCGCCTGAGGGGACTGATTGCGTTGAATAGGACGCCGAGCCGTCCTGCCATCGTAAGCAACACGGTACGACAGGCGAGTGCGCTGGCGCAAGATGCATCGTTTTCTCTTCGAATTTCCAGGCTTGTCACGGTTATTTTTAGCGAGTTCGCCTGTAAATAGCTGCAGTCTTAGAACCGGTAGTGGCATTATAGGAATGAGTCCTATTTCTCGCTATAGGTAACAACCAATATTTCTAAAATAGTTAATCAAAATCTCTTACTAAGGCAATTTTTGAGGCTTAGTGGCAGTAATCGGCGTTGCCTGCAGGAACAAGCTTCGAGTAACTCCGGGCTTTAGGGGATGGATATCATATTTGAAAACCGTTTTATGCTTACACGAAGATTGCTATACATCACTGTGCCTGAATATATGTTAAGACAGTCAGCGAGCAGTCGATCCTGAGCTGCGATGGATATTACTGGACTCAGCGGCGCACAAAGACCCCGTCTATTTAATCCAAGTTGAAATAAGTAAGTGTTATAGGTTCAGTTTGAATGATCATATTTTTTTAACATTGAAATCACAGTAACTGGCATTAAGATGACAGTGCACTGATTTGTTGCACAGAAATGTGAACTCTGAAAACACCTTTTCCATTTAACTTTTTTAAAAGCATAAGTTTAGTTGAATTAATATAAATATAATTATTTTAAGTTCTTGCTTAATTTTCTTTGCTTCTGAACATGTCTACCAACTTTGTTTCTTGGTAACATCCACGCAATCAGAATCAGTCTCTTAGATTAAAATTTTCCATCGCTTCCGCTATGTTTGTTACTGCTTCTCGTGATCTGTTGACCTACCGCTTTCGTCTGCCAACCACAAAGCTTCCCTGCTCGCTGAGTATATAACATATGCTTCTAATTGGGCTAGACATACGCTTTCGATTACAAGAACTTTTCTAAGCTACTCTCTCGTTCTAGCCGTATTCGTGAAAATTCAAAGAAAACTAACCCTGCTTCTAGATCTTCACTTCTGCAGAAGGACTCTAAGTGTAGAACACATTCCACCTTCTCTCATCCTGTTCTGCTTATTGGTCTCACGCTGTCAACTATCCCCTGGGACTGTTTGCTAAGTAGGAGGATCATCGCTTTTCGATCCAACTAGCTGCTTTTTAGGGGCTTGCTAGCCAAAGGATGAACAGGAAGTCAAGACAAAGAAGAGACAAAGGGGGAAAAACCGTGTCACCCATACTACCTTGAAATCTTCCTTTGTTCTATGCATTTTCTGTAATAGGCGAAACAAATGCAGTTACCAGGCTTAAGTCTGAAGAAATTTGATTGTATTGGGGTAAGCCACCTTTAGATATGTTTTCGTTTTCACTAGCACGTTATCTGTTTTTATGAAGCAATCTTTCGTTCGACACTTGGAACATGTGTCATATAAAGCACTAACACATACGTTGACTTGCGGACATTGTAGCTTTTATTCAAATTAGAAAAATATACTTACTCTGATAATAATTTTGCCATTGCCGAGAAAAATGATCCTGAAGTGCAAATGTATGTTTTACTGAGCTTTTTACGGATCGCTCTGAAATAATAATCTACAAATAACAATTTATAAACAATCTCTTGAACTTTGGTACGTCTCCTGGGAATGATCAGGTAAAATATATTCATAAACTTTTAGAGCTACGGAATCATAAATATGTATCGTTATCATCGATATAATTCCTCGGACCGAATATATGAATATCATAATCGCCTACTGCTGTATGCGGGGATAAAATTCTCAGTTGTCTTACGTTTTATAATGTCTGGCGTAACATTTAAACGAATTCAGTACTGATGAGGACATTTTTAAAAGCCTTTTAACATAAGTGTGTGTAACTATTTCTATTCGTGAAGTCGAGGGTCATGACATTTAGCAGCTTCCCACTTAGAAAAATTCCTATTGTATTTAGTACATTACTGAGAAAAATATTTATTTTTCATACACCTCGAGGGAAGGGGCACGCGGACGAGAAATCAAGTGACTTTTTAGGACCAAATAAGGTTTTAATAATTGTTATTTTCGTATTAATTTCTCAGATGATTACCCAGTACATTATGTGGTGACAGACTGTTACGCCATTTGCCTTTACAGCCCGTAATGTTCTACTCATAATGTTACCATGTTATCTAACTGTCAGTGTAGTATATTTACTCATTTATATTAATGATTGTCTCACATCTGTTAAACGCTTTTCATACTTGAGGTTGCTCTTTTCCGAATTTAGGGGAAACTTCTTAGTCTGCCCGTGTTTTCTTTCTGTTAATAGGACTCCCCGTCAGGTACATTCAATAAATCCAGCTGTTTAAGGCGTCGTCAGCTCAGCATCATTTCGCTTGGTTGGCAATGTTGACGAGGTTTGAATGCGCGTTTTTTCTAGTAGTCTTTCTCCATCAGTACTTCTCTTACATAGGTCCTCTTTATTGCCACTTTCCTTCATGCTCGCATATTCTCTATCCTAACCGAAACCTATTTACGTGGTTTTTAACATTCTCTGTATTAAGCTCCGGTGTAATCTCTCCTTGTTCCTTACCGCTCACTATCTCATCAATATCCGCAAGGCAGTATTTTCCAAGACCGAGTCGCAATGCACGCATATGCCAGATGAAGCTTTATGCAAAAGATGCCGCTTTAAAAATTTCTACGTCCGGTGACGAACCGCAGGAGTAAGTAGAAAAGCTTCCCTGGAGGTCTCCCCATACAGCATCGGGAATGTTCAGAATGTGGTCTCTAACAGTGGCGCTAGGGGAGCCCCTTAGAATAGAGTTCTAGTTGTCCTGCTAGGCACGCATGAATGCCTTCCATGCATGCTCTGTAGGGTTTCTTTACGCAGTCCATCGTTCTTTTATTTTGAGTTCCCAGAGTATTGAATTATCCAGTACCAAAACCGCTTGGTCAGTTTGTTTGAAATGGCACATTACTTTCGTGACCTTGTCGAGATAAATTCCAAAAAGAACTGTTTCCATCATTTTTATTGCCTTTCCGGAAACATTTTTTAGTTAGAGGAAGATGGGTTAAAATTGGTTTGCTTAATTTTACAGGGATTGGTAGATTATTCTCGCACGCTGGTAGGTCCACGTTCAGTGGCGTGGTGTTTAAGTACAAAACCCGTTCGTTTACTAGATTATAAAGCTGCGGTCCTAAAGCACTGCAGGGTTCCCTTTATTACCGAAAGGATGTGTCACTGTCTTTGATAATCAGCTCGAATTTGGACGCATAGCGAGACGCTTCCTGGCTTAAGGCATCGGAGAGCCGCACGACAAAGTGAATGCGTTTCTCTTATTTAGCACTATCATAGCTCAACTTTATGCTTTCCTCAACTTTTCTTTCACCTATTCTGCCTTTTTCAGAATTGTATCAAGTGGAATAGGGCAAGACACTTTTTCCTAAAGCCATATTGGGTGTAAAATATTAGTCAGCTTTCTTCTGCGTAGTCCCGCAGCCGTCGTTCCATTATGGTCCGGTCTCCTCTAGCCATAGCGGGAGCAAATGAGTAGAATCCTCTCTTATAACAGGTATAAAACGCATCTTGCACCGCCTTCACAATTCTGGGAATTTTCTCCTCTTAATTTTGTCTTTTTCGACTTTCTGCGGTAGTCCCTGATAGTTGTCATGGACTTCTGTGAAAAATACCGTTTAGCACTTGTCTTTGCTTTTTAAGATTTTCGGTTTGGTAAGGCTTTTTATTTCATACATCTAATAAGTCTCAGCGTTTTCATTTGTTGCCTTTAGTTTTCAAATGTTTAATCTGGCACTTTGCC